GTTGCTACCGGCACCGGTTTTTTCGGCAAATGCTTTTAGCTAAACAAATTAAGACTGGCCGCCAAATCTTACAGGAAACACTCCCTTAAAATTTCAGCTTTCTTGTTTTCTGGCTCCTGAGTTAGCAACTTACTGGAAAAAAAATTTCACGGGCTCGTACGTGAGTACCAGGAATACCCGATGTCTGGGTTTGAGCTCGTTGACTTACGTAGACGGGGAATATCCTCTTAAAACTACAGTCTTCTAGCTTTCCGGGTTCTCGAGTCAGCAACCTGCCCGAGAAAAACTTTGGCGGGCCCGTACGTAGGTAGCACGCTTACTCGGAGGATGGGTTTGAGTTCATTAATACCTACTTGGACGGGGAACATCACCCTAAGATTTCAGCATCCTAGCTTCTCAGATTCTCGAGTTATGAATTTACCCGTAAAAAACTTTGGGGGGGGGGCTCTTACGTGGGTACCATGCGAGTAATGGCACCCATTTTGGAGACTGGGGCCCGTACGTGCATGTAGATTAACCCCCCAGAGTTTCTGCGTTGTAGCTTTTGTAGGTCTTGAGATGAAAAAGCGTGGCAGACACACACATACAGACAACCCCTCGTCAACATGCGTTTTCTGCATTGCATAGCTGCAAAAAACGCATAACAAACGTCATCACCGCCACCAGGTGATGTAATTCTAGTCAAAACAACTAAGAAGGTTCCCACTGTATCATTGAAGAATCGTGTTTGGAACTAGCAATTGTCTCAGGTATTCTAGAAATATCTTTTTTTGCTCAAATCTCTCGTAGACAGTGGATTTGGAACGGTAGGCTGCGCAAAACTCATGTTGTGGACGGAGCCCTTTCTTCGAAAGGGTTTCCACCTGCCCTTCGAAAACTGTTCTGGACCGGCAAGGAATTGAACCACTTCCCTTCATGTCTGAATGCAATTTTTTACCAATACACTACTGGCCCTTGTGCTCCACTTTCAGCCCGGCGAACGTCTCTACTGTGTATCTGTCCTTCAAGACAAGATATGCCTTTCTTTTCTTTTTCTTCGTGGTGGCTTCTTAGCCGTCTTTTCGCGGGTTTTCCTTTAATAAAATAAACTCTATGGTTGCTACTGGGCAATGCAGCATTGATGAAAGCAACTGAGAAAGCTCATACTGGAACACTGCAGTGCAATATTTGAAACTAGCAACTGTCCCAGGTATTCCAGATACAACTTTTTCTTTGCTCACGTCTCTCATAGACTGTGGAATTGGAACGATACAGTTGTACACAGTGCATGGCAATATCGACAAGGATTCCTCCAGAG